GACATCAAATTTTATTATGTTTGTTTCCCTCTGCGTGTGTGGATGTACGTGTGTGCGGAAGGGGAATTGTTGTCATCGTCACTGTCACCTGAAGCGCGTGCACATTTCATGGCATGTTTGTTGTCTCACGTCCGCATTTTGCAATTGTTCTTTGCTCTCCTTTCCGATTGAATGTCGAAAATGCTTCTTGTTATTTTTGCAAATAGTGAGTTGACATGAAATGAATGCTTTTCTACTGTCAACCATTTTGTTACTGCCTCTTGCATTGGTGCGAGAGGTGAGCGGGGGGGACCAAATACAGGTTCACTCGGTCTTTCCGCCAATTTTGCAGAACTACTGGGAAAATGGTATGCGTTTTTGGTCCTTTGGCCTCAGTACGGTTGTGACGGACAAATATATTCGTCTTACGGGGGGCTCACCCAATGCTAAGGGATATTTATGGAATAAACACGCAAACCGAATGGAGGCCTTTGAACTCAACGTCACTTTGCAGATACGAGGGCGCCAGATTACTGGGCGTGATGATGTGCGAGATGGTGGCATGGGCATCTGGTACACTACTTCTGCAATGCCCGCTACTAACACGGATGTGGGGTTCTTTGGCTTTCACAAACGTTTCTATGGTGTGGGTGTGATTCTAGGACATTCGGATGAGATTTCTCTTGTTAGCAATGACAATACTTTTGAACTGGAACCAAGTTCTTTATTGTCGCGTCGTCACGGCTACTGCAGTGTGCCTTCATTGGGCGAGCTTCACATCACCATTACTATCCTTTATAAAGAAGGCAATATCAGCGTGCTGTACGTGTATCACGAGGGCGATGAGCCGCGTTTAGAAGATTACGACCGGGCTGTTTTCTGCACAACGGCTCCCTCGACCTCCTTTTTGGGCATACATCATTTTGGTGTCACAGCGGTGAACTCCGCAACGTTCCAGGCCACCCATGAAATTCATAGTGTCATTATGACCCCCTTGTCGGACATAACACACCACAAAGAAGAGGAAAACAAGGCTTTTCAATTCCGTTTGTTTGAAGAAGAAGAAAATGAAACAAGAAAGGAGCTTTTGGATGATCTGAACGAAAAGCAGTAGAATGAAAACAGCGTAATGGCTTACATTTTATATTTGTCTGTGGATGAGGACTTATTCATGTTAACTCAACCACTTTTTTTTTTCTTTTTAAATATATATATTATATAGAAAGAGAGAGAATTGCACGTTAAGAGTGTTACACGTGCATTGAAAAGCCTCTATTTAGTGTTTCATGGGATGGATTGTCGCTTTTTTTCTTTTTTTTTTTTTTTACACTTTTATTCCTTCCTTTTCCCATTCCTTTTATTTACCTCCTTCCTTTTTCATCTTTCTTTTTTGTTGTTTTTGTCGTTGTCGTTGTTGTTACTGCCGTAGTGGGGAAATATAACAAACTGTGCCAACGGGTGACTGATGATGGGAGAAGAAGGCATTATTGTTCCGTTTTGCGCATCCGTTGATGCCTACATTAAGAAGGGTGCGGGAATTGACTTGATTATGAAGTCCGTGGCAGGTCTTTCTCGCTTGGTGTCTCTCTACTCCCAGAACGAGGAGACAAGTCGGAATTATGCCAAGTTTGGCCAAGCCATCATTAATTGCCGCATGTTGGCCAACCACTTCCGTTATGCTGAGTCGTTAAACTTCGCGATAGTGAAATTTAAAAAAAGGGATGGTCGCCCACTTCTTTCTTGGTTGTGTCTCGTCGGCTCTTTCTTTTTCCGCTCACTGGAACAGGTCTTTGGCGACTTGAACTACTACCAGTCGGTCTTTATGCATCATTGGAGTCGTACTTTCTTGAGTCTCGGCTATTGGTTTTTTAAGTCCCTTTCACTGACCTGCGGGTTTTTTTACGAATTGATGTCTCTGAGAGCCACCATTGCGTCACCGGACTGGCGAACCAAAAGTGCGCAGGGGCGTTCAAAGATTTTGAGGGCGGGATGCATTTCGCTGCTCCGATATATCTTTGATATGGTGGTTTACTATCAGTGGGTCCCGTGGTACAATCCGTACAAGACGGTACAGTACGCGTCTGCCGCTGCCGCCGGCATCCTTGGCATCTACGTGTCTTGGAAAGAAACACAGGCTGCACGCGTCGCTGGGGCAAAGAAGGCACCGGAATTGCGCACTGCGATGAATGGGAAGGAAGGGAATGAAATCGCAGAATTAAAAACCGTGGTCCCAGCAGAATGAGCGGCGATTTAACGTCTTTTTTTTTTTTGAATTTTTTTTTTTTTTTGGTCTTTAAAGAGTGTCCGTTAAGAGGGAAGCTAAAAGTAAACTGGCGGGAATACGCGCGGGCCACGGCTGAGGGATATTAAAGCGATCAAGCAAGCGATGGGAAAAGAAGCAACAACAACAACAACCAAAGAAAAAAAAAGGTCAAGAGGATCCGAGACGACGAGGGGGGAGGCAGAAACATGGGCAGTAACTCGAAAGAAGGTGGGCTTAATAGTTACTTTTGCCACGCCGCGACGCTCCTTTTTTTTTGTTGTTGTTTGCTTTTTTTTTTTTGTACTCCTGCAAGGCGCTGCGAACGACCGACACCCCCCCCCCTCCCCCCACGCGTTTCTCTCTTGCGCCGCCGTTCTTGTTATTGTTGTTTCTCTTTTGTGAATGATGGGGTGTGGGCGTGACATTTAGTAAATGGGGAGGGACCCTACTGTAGTGGGCTCTCAAGCGTATTTATCTTCTTTTTTTTTTTTGCTGTGCCTTCTTGTTTGTAACGGGCACAGCAGCGGGGCCAGACACATGCTGAGGGGGAGGGTCTTTGATACTTTGTGGTGCCCCGCGTGTGGTGAAACTGTTTGATTTGCGTGTGCACGCTTTGGAGAGGAGAAGCAACAACAACAACAACAACAACAAGACGATGGATACTGCGTATAGTTAAAAGAAGTAATTGTAATCACACAGAAACCCCCCACCCGTCTAAATAATCAACCAAACACGAGGAGGGAATGACGGCTGACACTACGCAGTAAAAAATGAATACACGAGAAACCCGGCACACAGAAAATTAGGGTCAAAAACAGAGAGGAAAAAGGAATTTTTTTTTTTTTTTAACTACGCCAATATTTGTATTTATTTCTTTTTTTATAAATTGTTTGCATCTTCTGATGAGTGAATCATTTAATCCGTATACATATATGTATATATATATACTTTGCATTGTACGGGATAGGCATCTGTTAACACGTCAACTGCTGCACTTTTCTGCATCAATAGTGACGTTTTTTTTCTTTTCTTTTTCCCGCTTTGTGTAATATATATATATATATATATTTGATTGATTTGTAGTTTTAATGCAAAACCAGCGGTATGGAAAGTTGTGTTCATCCGTTGATAGGCCAGCTGCAGCCCATCTTCAATGAACTCCATTCAAGTACTGCTGCCACACTACCATCTGTCATATTAAAACTAGAGTACATCATTGGTGACGAAGGCGACACGTTTTTTCAAGGCAGCGCGGGAGGGGAATTTAGAGCCTCACATTCAGGACTTTCAACCTGGGTCAACACGCAAATCAAAGACTTATTTAGTAAATCTGAAACGCAACTTGCAGGGATCTTATGCACCAAGGCTCTCTTGGGCACTGATTACATTGGAAGTAACAGTTTGTTGCAGTTTTTTTTGCAGTTACTGGAAGGGTCTGTAAGGTCGTCCGATGTGGTTGTGTCGGAAAAGTCAGCTGAAGTGTGGGGTCTTTTACTGAACAACAGCGGTAGCTTTGCGGAGGGCACTGCCCAGACTCGGTTGAAAACATGCATCAAGGACCTACGGATGACGGGGGATGCGGTGGATAAGGTTGCTGCCTCTCTGTTTCTATGCCAGCTGTTAAAGCATACTCCGTCAACTGTCGTGCCTTATCTCCACCTGGTGTTTGAGGGGATCCGTGTGGCTTTGCGCGATTTATCAGAACGTGTGCGAGTGAATGCTGCATGTGTCTTGCAATATGCGCTTTCCGTGATGTACACCTCCATGGGTTCGAGTACCGTAATAAAATTGTTGGATAGTTTTTTAGGGGATTCACTCAACGGTTTGGAATCCAAAAAAAAGGACTTGCAGCATGGTGCCATTTTGTGTTTTAACGCTGTACTTTTTTCTATAACGAATGGCATCTCTTCTTATGGAGCGGCGGTGATTCTTTCTTCTGCCTCCATCTCGTACCTGCATGAAATATGGCAGTGTGTTAACGCGAAAATTGTCAATCCCAGTTTGTTGCCGGAGATTCGACGAGAGCTTTTAAACTCACTGATTCTTCTTGCATCCTACGATACGGTAAAGTTTAGAGAACGATCCATCCCCGTTGTACTCGCAGCTGCATCTACGGTTTTTCGGGCGGCAGCATGTCGTGAAGAGCATTCAATGATGTTTCTTGCAATGGGGAAGCTGGCGGCCATATTACGGGATCATGTGACTCTTTTTCTTGACCGTATGATGCCGCATATCCAGGCGGCACTTGGGCAGAAATCCAAGGATGATCGTTGCCTAGAGGCCGTAACATGTTTTGCGACCCTAGCAGAGGTGAGCCCCAAGGCTGCGCGACCGTATCTGCGACAAATCTTGGCTCTACTCTTTTCTTTCCCTCCAACTGTGGGGTTTACGAGGGACATTGCAAGAATTTGTGAGGCTTTTCCAGAGCTACGGTCCACTTGTCTCTCGAAAATATTGGAAGCGACGAAACAGCAACTTTTAAATGCACATCACCGGCTATCCATCAGTACCGGTGAGAACGATGCCGATGCCGTTCTTTTCCTAGAAGTGTTTGAGTGCTCTGAGCAGTCTGGATTTTTCTGGGTATTCTACCCTGGCCATTCTCTGTGACGCTGGCATTTTGTTATGTGTCTTTCCCTCACGAAA